ATCAGTGAGGTGTTTGGGGATTTTCACTTTGCTGATGTCAATTTTTGTAGAGGTGGCAATGACAAATTTCTGGTGTGTTCTTTGTAGAGGAACACGATTAAGGCTCAGAGGCCCAGTCACAAGTAGCAAGCCACTCTCCAACTGCTTCAGGAAGACCACGCTCTTGCCTCTGTGACGCCCGGTGAGGATGACCAAGATGGTGCCGGGAGTGACGCTAGCTCGAAGTTTCCTCCCATGCTGACTGAAGGGCTTCTTGCCGTGGCTCAGGAGCTTTCGGGGCACATCTTCAGTAGGGTAGTACCTAGGCATTTTTCAAAGCTTAACCACCCGGCTACCTCCATTCTTGTCCCCACCGACCGGTTTTGTGATGGTAGCAAGAACTTTCTCCTTTTTCTTCTCAACCTTTGGCTTAGCAGCTGTGCACTTTCTCTTGTACAAGGCCTTTCTGGAATGCAGATCGGGAGTATCTACCAATTCCTCTAACCAGGACAGGATTTCAGCTGCAGTGGGGCTGCCTCTTCTTGGACTTTTTTGCCTTCTTCACCTTACCCTTTTTACCAGTACCACTGGCAGAAGCCTTCTGCGCTTCGGGTTTCTTCTCTTTAGTGACTGGTTTCTCAGTTTTTTCACCCACCATCTTGCAAGATGGGAAAGAGCCCCCTTTATTTTTTTAGGCAGTCTTGCTAAGTTGCCTCTGTTGAGCTTGAATTTAGCTTCCTGCCTTGGCCTCCCAGAATGGTGGGATTACAGGCACATGAGATGCTGGTAAAAATGTCTAGTGACCTCTCAGAGCTCACGGGGCTGGCTATGGAGAATGAGGAAGAACCAGCTATTCGTTGATGAGGCCTGGGACCTGAAGATGGGGCCCAGTGCTGTGACAGAGGCTGGAGGGAGCGGGGAGGAAAGGCGTGCATTTAGGGTGCCTCCCCATGAAACGCCGACTCACGTGTCTACTTACTCAACAAGCACTTACAGAACACAGACACAGGTAGGAACCCAGTAGGACTGCAGATCTGCACCCAAGCCCACCTTGAGCAACCCTGGGCCCTCCAAAGGCAGGGTGGTCTCAAGAGCTACTGCCCCCCAAGCCTCCAGGTGCAAAACTGGGTCCTTGGGGCCGGGGAGATGGCTCAGTAGAATAAGCGCTTGCCTGGCAAGTGCAAGGGCCTGAGTTCAATCCCCGGTTCCGCAAAAAACAAAACCGGGTCCCTGTGCTTGACTAAGCAGGCTCTTAGTCAGGTGGCCTGTGGAGGAAGGGCCTGGACAGCTGTTTACTAAGGCTCCCGGCCCACCATCCCCCCTGGGCCCAGAGCCTTAGTAAACAAGAGTAAGTGCCACCATGGCACGGGCTCCAAAGTTCTCAGTGTGTTCACAGAGTAGGGCATGGTCCGCTTGCCCTTAATGTGGGAGATGCCTTCCCTATCCTGTGCCAGTCAGGCAGGGTAGTGGAGCTTCTTCTTTTGTTGTGGCCGCCGACCATCTCCTTCACTCTCACAAGAGCTGTGTCCTTTCTAGGACACTTCAGCTCGACCCAGGAGGAAAGCGCTATGGAGCTGAAAAGCTGGGGCTGCCCAGTGCACCTGGAGGCCCAGACTCCGCCCAATCCTGTGCACCTGGAGCCCCTACGCGGAGCCCTTCCTAGAGGCCCAGACCCCGCCCCGTCCGGTGCACCTGGAGCCCCTGCGCGGACCCCCTTCCTAGAGGCCCAGACTCCGCCCCATCCGGTGCACCTGGAGTCCCTGCGTGGACCCCCTTCTTAGAGGCCCAGACTCTGCCCCAGCCGGTGCACCTGGAGCCCCTGTGCGGACCCCCTTCCTAGAGGCCCAGACCCCGCCCGGTCCGGTGCACCTGGAGCCCCTGCGCGGACCCCCTTCCTAGAGGCCCAGACTCCGCCCCAGCCGGTGCACCTGGAGCCCCTGCGCGGACCCCCTTCC